TTATTGCAAGATTTCTGAAGGGTGCCCGAAGACTCAGAGCTCGTTCAAGGCTAGCTTGAGAGGCTCCTTAAACCCCTGTGATCACTGGCCTTGGCGTCTTGCGGGGACAGTGAAGCTCTAGGTAGCGTCTTACGCCTAAGCTTACAGAGGCAGAAGACAGCGTCTGGCTGTCCTGCCAGCTCAGGAGCTTTGTAAATATTGTACATTTGTATATAGTTTGTTTGTAGCACGGGCTTGGGCCCATCGGGTTGTGTATGTGGTTGAAGCACTGGTGATGGTTTTGGGATTCAGAGACTGCTCCGCTTATTCACGAGGTGTCTTACAGAGTCCCCATACATATGGAATATGTAGCTGGTTGCAGGGTATATGCAGGAATCCTGAAGTCAAATGTAATACCTTTTAAGACCTTTTTTAAGACCCTTTCCATACATTTTAAGACCTCATCGCCACTTCGAGTTCTAACCGGTTACATTACACACTTTACCTCACATTTACTATATACAGTATTTATTGTAAGATACACCAACACACTCTCTCAATCAAATGACATCAAAACGCATTTTAATGGCCAAACTAACTTTAAAATAGGCATTTTCCACCGAGAATAAACGCCAGCCATTGGAATGAATGCTGAAAAAAAACGGGGTTTGTCAAACAGAGCACATGGTGTAGTCCAAACGATAGCTGGGGATTCTGGGTAGTGTAGTGTCTTCTGCCATCCTTTACTCCGAAAAAATATTTGTTTCTCCGAATCGAAGGGGAAAAATACAAAAGCATTGCACACAATTTAAACCAATCAATGTTGTGTAATTAACAAGGATAATCTGGTGTTTTTTAGTCGATGAGTAGTGCAGATATCACTGTAAAATCAATCGACAGTAAGGGGAATACTTACTTCCGGGGGTACAATTCTCCGTTATCCAATGGGAATGGACGCTCACATTGCCTTTAAGGGCAGCCGACACAAACGAATGCCGTGCTTCCATGAGCGTCAAATCCCGCCGCAGATGGGAATACATTGCAATCAGTTGAAAGCTATTTGCGTCCCTTTATGAAGCTGAAGGAGCCTAGGAGCGTCACAACTGGACGCCACGGACACTGACCAAACGTCGCTCCTGGACGCTTAGGGAGTGAGAGTGTGTTGGATACACAGTTTCTGATAACTCCTTATCATAATTCAGATAGAACAAAGCACAAGAGAATTAATTGTGTGACCAACCCAATGCAAGGTTTATTAGAAAAAGAAACCATTATAAAGTAGTATTCTATTTAGGCATTGTTCCCAAGAGATAAAACAGACAGACTATTGAAGCCTCCTCCCACATGAACTTCAACCTCTCTGTCAAGGTCAGGTTTAATGCAGTATGCTGCTTTGTTGCTTCTGTAGACATACTCTGTGCTCTTTCATTCCAGTAAAACTCCTCAGAAACCATTAGAAACCAGTATTTGACCAATAAACAAAACAATTGACAAAACTATGAAATATATTAAACTTTGGTGAGCTTCAGCGGGGTAATGCCATATAGGAGCTCCCTCACAAATACCCAGGGGTTAAATTGGGCCAGGCTGTCCGGGGCTAAGCCCCGGCACATAGGACCACATATATGCAATGGCATGATAATATTATTGTGACAAGTGGGGTATTCACCTGGTGTTTCCAGAAGATAGACGTAGATGCTGCCAAAATCGACCGAAGGCCACTTTCGAGAGTCGTTTTTCCATACATCTGCAGGCAGTCTGTAAAGGCAATCGGACAACCCACCCAGCTCTAGTTTACGCTGGTAACGACCTAGAGCACACCCCTCAAGTCCAGAGATGTAATCTGAAGACATGCAGCGATTTCTTCGGTCGTTAATTCAGAAAAAAAACCTAGTGCGCTCTGCCTGGCTACGTTACCTAGCTGTTTATATTAGCACCTCCAGGATATTAGCACCTCCAGGAAAATGGCGTATTTCTATATAGATATATGGCGCGCGTTGCATTGTGGGTAGCTCGTGACGTCACTGTGTGGGAAAGAATCAGTGGCGCCCCAACACACTCTCTCCCCCCCCCCCCCCCCCCCCCCCCAGAGCGGAGCAAGGCAACAAAACAAGAAGCAGCATTTTACGGCGCGCTATGCATGGGGCCGCCTCGAGGGGGTTTCCCGACATGTCGTTGCAGTAAAGGGTGTTTCATGTTGTCGTTGCTGTGGACCTTCTTAATACATCGGAAAATGCCGTTTCATACTTTGTAATTTTTAAGACCCCGCGGACACCCTGTGGGTGGAGAGATAGTCTCTTCACTCGGAGAACAACGATTACAATGTAACCTACAGTTCTCTATCGTATTGAGACTATCTCTCCACCTTGAGGTCGCTCAGAATCTGGTGTCGATCACGCACACCTCTGCCTTATATACCCGTGCGTGCCAGTATTACTGGTGTGTCTTACATAATTATCCACGTCATCTGTCAGGTGGCGACATTCCCCATACATATGGAATATATAGCTCGGTGGAGAGGTAGCCTCTTCACTCAGAGAACAACGGTTACAATGTAACCTAGAGTTACATGTGCAAGCATCCTGCCACAACTTGCCACATTTCTCACACAGTTTCATTCACTGCACTCTGCCTGCTATTGGCTTGCAATGCCATGTGATCTTTGTGCTTTTTTTTACATTGGGGTTGGGATAAATGTTTTCAGTTTCTCACTTATTAATTGTTAGCCTGGTTGAAGAGACAGACTATATCTATTTGACAATTTAGGAACAAGAAATCCCCTCTTCAATTACACATTGCTCCATTTTGTAACATACATAAAAACAAACTTAAGAGTTTAACTTACACACCAGCACTTACAATCTTGGGTTGTTTGGAGTAAATATGTCAGCACTGTTCTTGTTGTCGTTAGTTTGAATCTTTAATCTTTATGGTGTAATGCACTTACGGTACATCGCTTTGGATAAAAGGATCAGCTAAATGAAATGTAATGTAACATAACGAGGCTGTCCAACAACATAATCTCTGACCCATACCATTATCTGAACAGCGAATACAAACTGCTACCATCTAATCGGAGATACAGGGTCCCACGATTGAATGTCAGACTGAAGCATTCCTTTGTGCACCAGTCAATTCTAACAGTAGTACAGATCAAGGTCAAATGCACGATAAAGGGTCTTGAGCCTGTTTTCTCTCAGTGATTGTGATGTTATGTTCAATGTTTGTTTTTTCATGTGTTATGTCTTGATATCTGTCAGTGACAGATTGTGTATGTTGATTGAGCTGGTTAAATTAAGTTTCAGACTTGATCAGACCATTCAAATATTATCGTATCGTAACATAGCTGTTGTTATTTGGTCCTGCTATGGCCCTGTTGTAAAATATTAAAAAACAAATAATATCTTTACTTATTTCATTATAGTTTTGCCTTGTTTATTGAAAAACGTATTTCAATGGAGATTGTAGGATTTTAAATAATTCAGTTGCAACAACTACAGAACACTATGTGTGACCATGATCAAATCAAATCAAATCAAGTTTTATTTATATAGCACATTTATAAACGATTTATGGTGGAGCCAAAGTGCTGTACATATAATAAAAATAGCCTACAGTAGAGACACTTTACAGAAAATACAACAGCACAGATTGTTCAGAATATCAGTATGAGAAAAACGACACCCTCTGTCCTTAGACCCTCTGTCCTTAGACCCTCACATCGTACAAGGAAAAACTTCCAGAGAAAAACCACAGTTTAAAGGGAAAAAATGGGAGAAACCTCAGGGAGAGCAACAGAGGAGGGATCCCTCTCCCAGGACGGACAGACGTGCAATAGATGCCGTGTGGATGATGTGATATGCAGTGGCAACTGGTCATTAGGGGCACAGCCCCACCTAGTGTCAGCAGAAAGTATTAAAAATAATGATTACAACAAAATGCAAAAAATAAATTAAAAAATATATAAAATATATTTTAAGATCATGTTTAATCATCTGATTCGTCTGTACATTGCTGTTTTAGTCTGTGTTCTTCTAATTAGTGTCTACAGTGTGTGCCTATTGAGCTGTTTAGAGCCATGTGGGACAAAACCCGATCCTGCCCCTCCCTCTCTCTGTCTAAGTGAAAGGTGACTGTAAAAACTACACTGCGCATGCTCAGAATATTTTCCTATTTAATGTGTGTGGCATATGACCATAGGGGCATAGAGCTGCCATCCCCACTATACGTCATCTCACATCATTCAGAGCTGATTGGCTGTAAGTACGTGTGCCGCGAACAGTGTGGTGTGTGAAGAGGAGACGAGAGAGCTGCAGTGACGCATCCTAAAACCAGGAAGTAAGCTGCTTCCCTCGACAAAAAAGCAATGAGATTTCTCCATAGGATTTTAGAAAATAGCTCAAAATAAGATCTGTGGGAAACAAACCTGTTAGATAAATGCACGTTTTGTTCAGCCGGATAATATCCACATGTCTATCTACCCTACTTTTATAATTTTCGAATCATAAATCTATTGATTAGATTAGATTTATGATAGACTTTTGAAACTACAAGAACATAAGGAGGACTTTCACAAAAAAGTAATAGAGATTTTTGTTCAGAAGGATAGGCAAATGGACTTAATCTTCAAGTCAAGGTAAGACTGCAATTTTATTGAAAATGGGATCTTACTAAGAGAGAACAATTCAATATTTAAATGATAAAATTACATTTTTTGGGTATCCTTTTGTTGAACTGTCTGTTTAAAATTAATTGAAGCATCAGACAAAAAAAGCTTTTGAAAATAATATTATATTTTGATTTAGGTCAAAATATAATATTTGTAAACCTGAATAGTCAGTGCCAGTGCCTCACCAGCCATGAACCTCACTGCAGAAGGCTAGACATCTAAGTTTTTTGTGCCCCACCACTTTTGTACATATAAAAACGCCACTGGTGATATGATATAAAGTTTTAGGATAAATATGTATTCATGTGGACTGAAAAACTGAGATTAAGATTATCATTTTCATTGTCTTTAGATGAAAGTCAACTGATGAGCGGCATACGTAGTTCCCTGCAAAGATGCTTCCCTGTTTGTGGTGACCTTCTTATTGGGGAGACCAGGATCCGCAGAGTGCCACTTGCTGAAGTCAACGTCCCGAAAGGAGTCCATGCCCTGATCAGTAATAATCGCCATGTCTTTACACCGTCAGCCTCTGAGGATATGCGGCTACGGTGCGATGCCCTTCTTGATCAGGATTTCCCTTATCAACTTTTCTCTCTCAACTGTGAGCACTTTGCTACTTTTGTACGCTACGGAAAAGCTGTGTGCAACCAGGTATGTGTTTGGAAGTTAATTGCCAACTAGAAATGTTTCTGATGTCTTAAAGGTAGGGTAGGTAAGAATGGAGAAACCAGCTTGAGTACGCTAGAATTTGAAAGTACACAACCGAAATAAATATGCCCCTTCCTTCAGACTTCCTTACAGAGCCCCTCCTCCAACACACACGGACGTGCACATGACCAATCAGAGAGTTGCATGGAAATAAACGTGTGCTTGTGTCATTCAAGCTCGGCTCTGTGTGTGTGTGGCAATAGCGCATTTAGTGTGATAGAGAGAGAGAGAGAGAGAGAGAGAGAGAGAGAGAGAGAGAGAGAGAGAGAGAGAGAGAGAGAGAGAGAGAGAGAGAGAGAGAGAGAGAGAGAGAGAGAGAGAGAGAGAAAAGGAGCTAAAAGGACTCTCTGAGTGTTTAGACTGTTCACTTTAGTCTGCACGGAAATGCTGTTCAACAATTGGTGAGACATTAAGGGGGTAAAAACGCAAATCCCGGCCACATTGGTCACAAATTATTCAAAAGATTATTTCCGCGGCACACCTTCATATGATCATTATAGTCTATATGGCAGTAAAACAAGAATAGAGTTTAAAACGGGAGTGATTTGTAAAATATCCATAAAGAAAAAGTAAATCTGTTTACAGTTCTGTTTCATCTGGGTGTTGAGAGAGGTATCCATAGATCTCTTAATGTTGCTCTCAAAGTGCACCAGATTGATGCTTTCAACTTCAATATTTAAAAAAAATCTTAGAGGAGGTGAGGACCTAGAGGAGGTGAGGACCCCCCTAGAGGAGGTGAGGTCCGCTCCCCACTCATAAACAATAGCACTTTACCCCTGCCTATATGCCGTGAGCTGATTATCGAGCCTTCATTGTAACAGTCGCGGGTGTACTGTGTGTGCGTGTGGGGAGTGTTTGCAGTAGACAATTCCACTGTAGCGCCGCGGCTGCCGCCACTGTGGGCTAAGCCCGAATGTTTTCAGGTCCTGGCGACGCCTCTGCTTGGTAGTAATCTGTGTTTGGCCATATCAGACTAATTAAATGGTCAAATGTCTCTATCTTTTTGTCTATCACTACTGATTTAGTTGGGGGGAAAATGAAATAACCGTTTAAGTAAATTGTTGCTTCAAGCAAACAAAAACTATTGGTTGTGTGTTGGTTTAAGTGCTAAAATATATTTAAAAGGACTTGACTGAGCATTAATGGCCACTAAGAATGGTATTGTTATCTATCCCATAGATTCCTATAAGACCCAAGAATGAAGAGTGTGAGAAGGCAACTGCAATCTTCAAAGACGTCGTCAGCTCCAAAGAAAATGCTTCAGACCATTTTGAATGAGCGCTCTTTTCCAATTCATGACAATTGATAATTCATGAAAATGTAAAATAAATGTAGAAATTGGTTTAACAAAAAGCTCTATGACCTGTTTGAAAATCATATTGCTTAAACATTTGCCTTTGGACATCTGTATGGCTGGGATGGATTATTTTGTCATTGTCAAAGGGAAAACGCCATCATTTTAAGAATCTTGTCTGACAATGACATGATCATAACCAATTATTTTACCTGCAACTCACATCAGCGAAGAACATGTATTGAATTGTATAAAACATATTTTTTTATCAAAGAAAACCAAAAAAGTATTTTACCTGTTTCTTTGCACTACATTGACCCATTGTGTTTTTGGGAAGACAGCCTTACAGGAGCAATTAGATTCAAAGATGCAATTTGAAAATAAAGTTAAGAATGAATGCCAACCAATGTACTCTTCCGATATATTTGTTGACAGCCTGACTTTTTGTTGTTGTCACTTTTTCCCATTACGGCTAGCAGGGACGTGCACAGGTACGGGCTAATGTTTCCCGGGCAACAGCCCGTTTGACATTTTTGTCTGACCTGCCCCTCTGGAGAGAGCAGCTTTTATTTTTGTTCTATTGTGGCCGAATCAACATGATAAACCCACAATTAGTATTGTAGCGTCTCACTGCGGGAAAACACACCTTTTCAGCACTGTAATCTGCCCCCAGTCACGTGACTTTGTTTACAATCTGACAGCTGGAAGCAAAGGAAAGCCCTCCGGCCTCATATGGCTATGGTGATCACACCAAATTCCTGCCTGGCGTTAGAGTAAGGGACAAATCAGGGGACTTTACTTCCTCTTGACACCGTCTGTTATTTACAAAAAAAAACACCTAAATATACTTGTTATTGTGCTTCTGTCCAGGGACGTGCACAGACATTTGGAGCGGCTATTGCTCTAAACTGGAAAAAAAGCCTCCCAGTTCAATAGGCATTATTCTTATTCTTATCATTCTTTATGAGCGCAGTAACGGTAAGGTATCTAATTACTTATTTATTTAGTATTTCATAACTTAATAACAGAGATGGTCAAACTGAAGTAGAGACATGGCAGAAATCCTACAATGAAGCAGGACAGTGAAGTGTTCTCCTGTGAGAAGGCGATCAAGAAAAGAGAGCGAGCGCGCCGTTGAGGGTAAAATACAGAATAAAATACACAGAAAGACAGAAGCACAATAACATATTTAGGTGTTTTTTTATCACCGACGGTGTCAAGAGGAAGTAAAGTCCCCTGGTTTGTCCCCTATACTCCAGACAGGCATTTGGTGTGATCACCATAGCCATAAGAGGCCGCAGGCTTTCCTTTGCTTCCAGCTGTCAGATTGTAAACAAAGTCACGTGACTTGGGGCTGACAAGGTGTGTTTCCCGCAGCGAGACGCTACAATACTAATTGTGGGCTTATCATGTTGATTCGGCCACAATAGAAAGAGAAAAAAAACTCTCGCTCGCACCAGAGGGGCAGGCCAGACAAAAATGGCAAACGGGCTGTTGCCCGAGCAACATTAGCCCGTACCTGTGCCAGTGGCGCCTCCAGAAATGTTTCATAGGGGTGGCCAAATGGGGCCACTGAAAATCTTGGGGTGGCCCACCAAAACCAATAATTTAATTGTTGTAAAAGTATAGACTAGATGAAAACAATGGCAAAGAGAATCACCTACTGATATACTTTGGTTTCTTATTTTACATTTTCTGATACTATTCATCTGAAGTGAATATAATACGGATAGTTAACATTTGACTTCAAACAACATTTAAAAGCACCTTGTTTTGTGTTATGTATACATGTGTTAGGTGATTTATTGTTTTGTTTTTTATACATGCTAGTTGTTCTTTCCTTTTTAAAAGACAAATACAGCTTAATTTAAATAAGTTCCTTTATTGCAAGGCACAAAATGTTCAGCATTCTCAACACATACAATACATTACATTACATTACATTGCATTTAGCTGACGCTTTTATCCAAAGCGACTTACAATAAGTACATTCGACCAGGAAGACACAACCTTGAAGAAAACAGAATCATATAAGTACATCAGGTTTCATAGAGCCAAAACTTTCAAGTGCTACTCAACTGGCTTTAGATACGCCAGTCCTTTATTAGTATATAAGTGCTTCGTTAATAGTTCTATCGCTCGAAGTGGAGTCGAAAGAGATGAGTTTTCAGTCTGCGCCGGAAGATGTGCAAGCTATCTGCTGTCCTGATGTCAATGGGGAGCTCATTCCACCATCTTGGAGCCAGGATAGCAAACCCACGTGTTTTTGCTGATGGGAACTTGGGTCCCCCTGGCAGCGAGGGCGCAGCGAGTCGTTTGGCTGATGCAGAGCGTAGTGCACGCGCTGGGGTGTACGGTTTAACCATGTCCTGGATGTAGGAAGGGCCAGATCCATTCGCAGCATGGTAAGCAAGTACCAGTGTCTTGAAGTGGATTCTAGTAGTTACCGGAAGCCAGTGAAGGGAGCGGAGGAGCGGAGTGGTGTGGGAAAATTTAGGAAGGTTGAAGACCAGACGAGCCGCTGCATTCTGGATGAGCTGCAGAGGTCGGATGGCACATGCAGGTAGACCAGCCAGGAGGGAGTTGCAGTAGTCTAGGCGTGAGATGACGAGAGCCTGGACCAGAACCTGCGTCGCTTTCTGTGTCAGCTGGGGACGTATCTTCCTGATGTTGTAAAGCGTGTATCTGCAGCAACGGGTTGTAGCAGCTATGTTTGCAGTGAAGGACAGGTTGTTATATAGGGTCACACCCAGATTCCTTGCAGTCTGAGTCGGGGAAACAACTGAGGTGCCGATGTTGATTGTTAGGGTCAAGAGTGGGACAATCTTTTCCCGGAAGGAAGAGCAGCTCAGTCTTGTCAAGGTTGAGCTTGAGGTGATGACAGACTGAGAGATGTCAGCTAGACAAGCAGAGATGCGTGCGACGACCTGGGTCTCTGAGCGGGGAAAGGACAGAATTAATTGGGTGTCGTCAGCGTAGCAGTGGTATGAAAAACCATGCAACCTAATGACTGATCCGAGCGAGTTTGTGTACAGGGAGAAGAGGAGGGGACCAAGAACAGAGCCCTGAGGGACCCCTGTAGTTAATTGACAAGGGTCGGACTCAGACCCTCTCCAAGTCACCCTGTAGGTACGGTCTTTGAGGTATGAGGTGAGGAGGGAAAGTGCAGAGCCTGAAACTCCAAGTTTTTGGAGCGTGCGAAGGAGGATCTGATGATTCACCGTGTCGAATGCAGCAGACAGGTCCAACAGGATGATGACAGAGGAGAGGGATGCAGTTTTGGCAGTGTGCAGTTCCTCAGTGACAGCAATGAGAGCAGTTTCTGTGGAGTGACCTGCCTTGAAAACCAGACTGGTGCGGATCCAGAAGGTTGTTCTGATGGAGACAGCAGGAGAGTTGTTTAAAAGACAGCGCATTCAAGTGATTTAGACAGGAACGGGAGTAGAGAGACAGGCCTGTAGTTTATAACATCTGACGGGTTGAGAGTGGGTTTCTTTAGGAGAGGGTTTACTCTTGCCTCCTTGAGACTGTTTGGAAAGTGACCAGAGTTAGAGAAGTGTTGATGAAATGGGGTGAGAAACGGTAGAATATCAGGAGCGATAGTCTGAAGGAGGTTTTGAAGGGATAGGGTCCAGAGGACAGGTGGTAGGGGGCGAGGGCAGAGGTAATGAGGGTAAGAACCTCACTTGGAGAGAGAGGGGAAAAGGAGGTTAGTGTGTGGGTGGAAGGGGGGGTCTGGTGACCCAGCGGTGAGTAAAGGTGAGTCAGAAAAAGAAGAGCGAATATCATCAACCTTTTTTTCAAAGTGGGTAACAAAGTCGCTTGACAGAAGTGAGGAGGGGGGAGGGGCTTTTGGAGGGTCCAAGAGGGTGGAGAAGATGGAAAATAGTTTTTTGGGATTGGAATATGAAGATTGGATCTTATCTTGAAAGAAAGTGCTTTTTGCCTGAGAGATCGAAGCAGAGAAAGAGGAGAGGAGAGCCTGATAGGTTAGGAGGTCGTCACGGTGTTTGGATTTCCACCGTTTCCGCTCTGCTGCCCTAAGGACGGTTCTATTAGCACGCAGTGCATCATTTAGCCAGGGAGCAGGAGGGGACTGACGAGCCTGCCGAGATGTGAGAGGACAGAGAGAGTCCAGAGTGGATGAGAGAGTAGAGAGGAGAGTTTCTGCAGCAGAGTTTGGAGGTAGTAGTTGGAACGAGTCAGAGGAAGGGAGGGCTGAGAGCACCGATGAGACAAAGGTAGTGGGGGAGAGGGAACGAAGGTTACGGCGGACAGGTGCAGGATGAGAAGAGATTAGTTTGTTATGTTTGGAAAGGGGTAGAGAGAATGAAATGAAGAAGTGATCGGATGTGTGGAGCGGGTTTACAGAGAGGTTAGAAGTAGCGCAGTTCCTTGAGAATATGAGATCAAGGACATTGCCAGCTTTATGAGTCGGTGGGGATGGAGACAGTGAGAAAGCAAAGGCGGTTAACAGAGATGTTAGTTCATCTATCTTCCCTGTCTGGAGGTTGAAGTCTCCGAGAAGTACAGCGGGAGGGCCAGTTTCAGGGATGTGTGAGAGGAGATTATCTAATTCCTCCAAGAAGTCCCCCAAGGCGCCTGGTGGACGTTAGAGAACAACAATGGTCAATTGTATAGGATGGGTTACTGTGACGGCATGGAATTCAAAGGTGGAAGGAGTAGCTTGAGCTTAGGTAGCTTGAAGAGGGAAAAGCTCCATTTGGGAGAGAGCAGGAGACCAGTGCCACCTCCTCTGCCAGTTGGTCTGGGTGTATGGGAGAAGGAATATGCTGTGGAGAGAGCTGCTGGGGTGGATGTGTTGAATGGAGTAATCCACGTCTCAGTGAGAGCAAGGAAATCCAGAGACTGCAGGGAGGCGTAGCCAGAGATGAATTCAGCCTTAGGAAATGCTGACTGGCAATTCCACAGGCCACCTGAAACTAGATGTTGGATCTCAGTGAAGCATTTGGGATAGATGAGAGCAGGCCGTTTATAGCGATTAGGAGATACACGGGGCCAGTGATAATTGCGAGAAGACACATGAACAGGAATGGAGAAAATACACATGATTATAGCACGAGGGGCTAGAAAACTAAAGAAAAGAGAAATAAGACACCAGCTCAATCAGAGTAGGATTTGCCTCCTCTTTGCCTCCCTGTTGACTCCCGCAGGACTCTAATGTCTTTGTCAGTCTTTGACTCCCGCAGGACTCTAATGTCTTTGTCAGTCTTCGGCTGTCTGACGCTTACGCTGCCGCTCCAGGAAAGAGCTACCTAAAATGGACGACTGATTGCTGAGTTCTCACAGCTGTGGGGCCACGCCCCTCTAATTAGTTAACTCTCTACAGCTGATGGGCGACAGTAGACTGGCCCTGCCCATATTGTAATGCAGGCTTGAGTG